GCTCAAAACATCGACGATCTGCAGGAGCTAATCAATAGAGTTGACATGGAATGCACAAATTGGGGACTGTCGATAAATATCGATAAAACTAAATACATGGTGACCAGTAAAGTGGATATCGGCGCAACCCAACTGATATTAAACCAACAACCGCTGCAGAGAGTTCAGAGATTCAAATACCTTGGATGTTGGATTACCCAAAATCTAGATCCATCCTTCGAAATTCGATGTAGAATTGAACAGGCAAGAAACTCATTTCAAAAATGCAAGCCTCTATTATCCAATAACTCATTAAATTTGGAAATCCGTGAAAAGTTTACAAGATGTTACGTGTGGTGTGTACTTTTGTATGGATGTGAAACTAGAATAGAATAGATATGGATGTAAACTAGAATATCTTGGACATATAATCAGAGGACCAAGATATGAGTTCCTTTGGCTAATTCTCAACGGTAAAATCGAAGGAAAGAAATGGATAGGACGGAAGAAACTCTTTTGGTTGAGGAATTTGCGGTAGTGGACAGGTTTGACAGCGGACCAATTGCTACACGTAGCGCAAGACCGAAATCAGTATAACAATATTATAAGCATGGTAGTCGCCGACGTTCCGTAGGGATATGGCACTCTAAGAATAAGATCTACAATAATCTTAACTATCAAGAGAGATGTGACTCCCGTGATGGAAGATGGGATCTTCCTTTGTTGGTTTTACGTTGTCTTTGAAATGTGTGAGCCACTGCATGAAGATTTCTTCATTTGACCAGCCATTATGGGAGCATTTGTAAATACTCCAGCTGGTCCACATTTCTCTAACAGGTGACATTCTCTGCCTAGGATATATAAACATGGGCGGTATATATGCACCTGAGGCAATCAAAGTGCAGACAATCGTAATCTTTCTGCCTCTTTCCCAACGTGTGACAGAGCCCACCTGATGTTGACCCTTAGTAGCTAAAACCTTTCCAGGTTTTTGGACCGTCGATATACCGGTTTCGTCCATATTAAATATTCTAGTGGACTTCAAAGGATGTTTCTTGTAAACTGTTTCCAAATTGGAAAAAAAAAGTAAATCCACTTCAGATTAGTTAAAGGCAATAACTTGGTTTAGACTTGTTGCTGAGGGTTATCTTAGACTTAAGGTAGTATTTCTCTTACGAAATCCGGAAACCCTATCCTCCCTAACCATTTTGGTGCTTTTATTAAAATTATGTTTTATTTTTAACTTTTCAGCAAGATCATACGCAAGTCTTCGTATCCGCAAGTCTGTCAAAGTAATGCCATAAAACTGGTTTGATAGTTGTTTGATGTGATCAGCTAATATAGCTTCTTGTTTTACTGAAAAGTACGATTTCCTTTCCAGGGCTTGTTTTTCGATAGAATTAGATTTAAGACGATCATAAAACGTAATTATTGGAGTATTCAATTCAGCGGCAACACTTTTTACGGATCGTCCACTTTAAACCACTTGAATTGCCTTTTTAGGGACTCCTCGTTCCATTTACCCCTTTTTATTGTTGTTTTTCTCGATCTCACCATCCAAAACACGTCAAAATCAACGTCTTTGGTATCAAATAACTGCATATTTTATTTTAAAATAAATGGGGTAATACCGACACCTGTCGATATTTCCCCCCATTGGTGTGTTGGATGGGTCCTCCCACAATTCTACAGACTTAACTGAATGTTCAAATGTAACATGAAGTGTTTTTATAATAATATAATTTGTTGTAGTTACCTTCACTTGTAGAGAAGTCAAGCAGCAGCACTATAAGTGACATGTTCAACTAAAAATAAAACCAAAACCCACTGTGTTGGTATTGTCCGGTATGTCGTGATTCCCCCAGTCTACAAAGTAAGAAATTTAGTAGAACGCAGGTTTTGATAGTTCTGCTTATATTGTGGCGGCTGGTTGTTCTGGAAATTAAATATGTAACTAAAAATATTTATTTTTTACTTAGGTGTATACCGTTAAAGTAAGACATATCTTAGGCAGCGAAGAGTGCAGCTGCGCTGAGGAGGGTGATGCCTAACATTGGAGGACATTAATCGGAAAGGAGGATTGCCCTTCCTGGTGATGTGCAGTCAATCACCCTGTACGCAGCAGCAGTCTGGTGTGGAGCGGTAGAGATAACGATCTACAAGGGCTCATTGTACCAGTAGACTGTGTTACAGACCTAGGGAATTTTCCGTATACCTAGGGAATTTGGAGCAAGCTTAGGGAAAAGGGGATTTTTATTCAATTCTATGAAAAATCTAGAGAATTCTTAATATTTATAAGACTATGATTTAATAAACTTTCCAAAACTGCACATATCATCTTACTTGGAAATCGTGTTATTCAGGAATTCAGGGAATTACTGAATTCTGTTCATGTGATTTCCCGTCAGAGACTAGAGTGGTGGAATTTCACGAACTGCGAATTACGTCGAGGATCCACCTTTATTGGCCTCTGGTGATTTTTGTTTCTAGTTTCTCTTTCTCTAACTGTTCATGTGATTCCCCTCGGTGACTAGAGTGGTGGTATTTCACGAACAGCGAATTACGTCAGGGATCCACTTGGTCTAAAATATCTTAATACTTTGATATTACTACCTCACAAATTCACGAAATTCACTGTGAGGTCGAGTAGTGTATTTCAGCCAGCGAAACAGGATTCGTTCGTATAGACATTTATTTCGAATTACAACCAACTGATTGCAAAAATTGTACTTCTACTCTCAAATAAATTCTATAGCCATCTTTTTTTTTCTTCTTTCTGCGCTTCTGTTGTCAGTTTTTAACCAAGAGTGTGCACAACTGTACCCACTCTAACCGCAACTACACTCATGTTTATTTCTCCGTAACACCTTCTCTTCCATACATAAACAGTTATATTGCATATCTAGTTCTAATATGAAATTCATTATAGAATTTGGATTGTTAATGGACTTCTTAAAAATGGCTTTACCTTATAATCAGAATCTCCTTGTAAGAATCCATTTCTATTATCTCCAGTTAAACTTTTTATCAAGAATACAGAAGTATTTATTCCTACATGGTATGTACCTAGAAAACATTACGTAAGTATTACGAAAGGAAAGAGGTCAGAATTTAAAATTAATATTCCATATATATTATGTAGAAGCTTTACTGAAAGTTTTGAAAATTTCCTACTACACTCTGGATATTTTGTATACTTACTCTGAATCTTTTTTTATATATAATTGAATGTATTTTATGATTATTAAAAGAATCTGACAACCTAGGTACTATGTGCATATTTTTCATTTTGGAATCCGATACTACTATTATTGAATTAATAGCACCAATCTTTCTTAAAAAAGGGTAATTCAATAAATATAGGAAAAAGAAATAATAATCAAGATTCTGAAAATATTGAATTCCTAAACTAAATGTAAAGTAAATGAAAAGATGTATACCCGTACTTTTATAATCATTTATTAACAACTATTTACAATATTTTCTCAGAATATCTTAACGTTTTAAAAAAGTCTTTATCACTACAAAAATTTAAATGTTCAATTCTGTATCAAATATTATATTCTTACTTACTTACTCCGTGGCGTTACAACCCTTCGTGGGTTTTAGTCGACTCGACAACATGCCTCCACTGCTTTCTGTCTTGAGCAACCTCCATCCAATTCTCCACGCCCATAGTGCTTAGGTCTCCTGCTACATTATCTCGCCACCGGAGACGAGGGCGTCCGCGTGGTCTTCTTCCAGTTGGGACTTCCTCCCACATCAGTCTTACTGTTCGTTCGTCAGAATGTCTTCTTAGGTGTCCTGCCCATTGGAGTCTTCTGGACTTTATTTCTTTCATGATGTTGGCGTCTGGGTAAAGTTCTTCGAGCTCTTTGTTAGTTCTTATCCTATATTGTCCTGATGCTTCATCCAGCACAGGACCAAAGATCTTCCTTAGGATTTTTCTTTCCCAAACACATAGTCTCTCTTCGTTTTGCTTTGTTATTGTCCACGTTTCGCTTAAATACATCACAACGGGTCGTATGATTGTTTTATAGACCTGTATCTTCGTACGTCGTGCTAGTTGTTTTGATTTTATAAGGTTTTGGAGGGCAAAAAGACATCTGTTGCCGCCCTAAATTCTGTTGTTTATTTCTTTTTGATCCGTTATTGTTTTCAGTTATTGTTGTTCCAAGATACTTGAATTCTCTAACGCGGTCAAAGTTAAAGTCATCGATGGTGGTGTTCTGACCGATTCTGTCTCTGCTTTGGTTATTGCGGCTTGTATACATATATTTCGTATTGTTTTCGTTGATTTGGAGCCCCATCTTCTCTGATTAATTCTCGAACCTCACGAAAGTCTCCTGCATCCTTAATCGTGTGTTTCCTATAAGATCGATATCGTCTGCAAATGCCAGTAGTAAGTTTGGTCCTTCTTGATGAAATACTGTATTAGGTTGTTCGATTCTTGCACTTCTGATTATTTACTCCAGAGCTAAGTTGAATATTGAAATATTATATTCTCACACTAATTTTATAAACATTAAACATCATACTGGTCATACTCTCCGATTTTATTAAATCTTTTTATAACCATGTCTCTAACCTACACTAAACAACAATATTTAGGTTATATTTTTGATTTCGCGATAACCTATAACATAATAATGTACTACAATCAACACAATTTATTTTCCAGATAACTTTTTATTCAGTACTTTATTTGCCAAATAAGTATTTTATGAATAGAGGGCATGATAGGCTGTCTCATTGTCTAAGTCCTATCTGAGACTGGAACGTTCTGGAAACTTCGTTCTGCACTCTCTAACTTTACAATGTAATTAATACAGTATTATTAATTAAACGTATCATTTTAAGAACAAAATATGATTGAAATGTCAAATAGTGGTAGTTCAGATTTCTTCCCTAGATGGTGTCGTTAGTTTACTGGACAAACAGTGTGACTTGCCATCATAGCCTTTTATATAGATAGATTATAACAATGTTGGATAATTAAATTTGAATCATTTATTTTTCAGTAAAAAGGAAATCCCACAACCCAACTATGTCATGCACACGATGCACTGCGCAAGAAATATTACCTTGTGCAAGGTCTGCAAGGAACCGGTTCCCAAAGGTCAGTTCCCCGACCATGAAAAAACCTGCAAAAAGCCAGTTGAGCCTAAACCACTGCCACCTCTTACAAACTTCGAAAAGAGTTCGTATTACCAGACCAGAAAATCTGTAGAAGACAAAAAGACAGAAGCACGAAAAGAACGGTACATGCAGAAGATGGAACGGTTAGTAGATACTGGGTATTCCTTAAAAGATAATTCTAGTAGATTCAGCAGAACTTCAAGTAGAGATTCGCCAACGTATAGCAGAGGTGCTCCAAGTTATAACAAAGATTCATCAAATTTTAGCAAAGATTCACCAAGTTACAGTAGAGAAACCACCATTAATTATATGGAAGAACCTTCCGTGGAAGAGTCTACTAGATCTAAATACTCAAGCAATAGCTTTAAATCGAGTAACGAAGTTAAACAAAATGGCGTCGTCAAGAAACGAACAGAAGTTCAAAAGGAAGAAAAACCTGAAGCGCCACAACCTCTTCCCCCTCTAATTAAACGACCAGAACCGTCCAAATCTAGCATGTTACCGTGCAGATTCTGTGATTTAGAATTACCGAAATTAGAGCTCGAGGATCATGAGAATTATTGTGGTTCTAGAACTGACAAATGCTTAGAATGCGGGGAGTTGGTGATGTTCAAGGACAAACAAGTACACATGGATTCCAATCATGGATTTTTGAAGAGAAAAGGTAAGTTTGAATTATATTCTTTTCTTATTTCAGTAATAATATTAGAGTTTGAGTTAATCATCAGCTTATTTTTGACATACCTACAAAATTTAGATAATCTTTCAATCGTCGCCTCTTATATGTAAGTACTTATATGGCTTCATTCGTTACACATTTCTGAGAAGATTATCTAGTTGTTATCAACGGTAATCTTTACATCGGGTATACCCTGCGAACTGAGAAAAAGTATATAGACTTGTATGTCCGAGAGAATAACATGTAACATGTCTGTAATAGATCCGTAAGCACTGTGGCCACTCTTGTCTGTACTTTGTTGCCGAACGAAAGTTTATTTTTTAGATGGTCTGGGGAAGTATTTCAAGGATGTGATTACAAATATTTAAAAGCAGGTTCATATCTAAGATTAAATCAACAGTTTCTTTAATCTCAATTCACAAAAATATAATAAATTCTTAACGGCATAAATTGAAACAATTTATTCTAAAAAATAACAATGTTATAATTTTAATTAAAACTGTTTTAGATTAACTTTTTAAAAAGTCCACCACGTTCAACCATGTAGTAGTCCAATCTATTGTATAATTGCTTTCGGGTGTTACGCTTTGAAAGGCCTAAATGATTTTTTGACGTTATTTGTCTAAATTTTCGACACGTTCATGCTCATGCCGGTAAATTTGTTACTTCACATAATCCCATACGAAAAAGTCCGAAGGTGCAAGATCAGGAGAGCGAGGTGGCATCTTTACGGTACTTTTTGTACTAATAATAACTCTATCTGGAAACGTAATGTTTAAAAAATCTAACACCTCACGTGATTTGTGTCAGCCGTCGTGCTGCAACCAAATTTCATCTATATTAATAGGTAATGCTCGAACTGCTGGAATCATGTGATTTCTCAGGAGATCTAGATATTTGCGACGACACACATAGTACTCACAATGAAAAAAGGGACAATTACGTTGTCACCTAAAATACCAGCCCAGACCTTTTTGACGGTATTGTGTTTTGTAAGGAAAACTTATGTGCCTATTTTCTGTAGAGTACCCTACGGTAACACATGGATTGTGATTATCAGTTAAAGACAAAGAAGACTTATCTGTAAACAAAGTTTTTGTTCATAAAATCTTCATCACAATTAGTACGTTCCATCATGTCCTCACAAAATACCATCCGTCGTTCATAGTCAGCAGGGAAAATTTTCTGAAGTTTTTTGCAATGTATTTCGACCTCGTGGTGAACATCGTTTGTTATTCAGCAACCAAGATATTGGAATCTTTTTACTGGTTTTATATGTTATAGATACGAATATTAATGTCGACATTTGGAACACGTGTAACAGCCATTACTTTTATTTGTGTTTATATTTAGTCCCAAGCTATCTCCCTCTCTGGTTATGATATTCAAAAGTCGTTGTAAACCCTCAGCACTGTCTGCAATAATGACGGTGTCGTCTGCGTATCTTAAGTTGTTTACGTATTCTCCGTTGATTTTTATTCCTTCTTCAATATTTTCGAGGGAATTTTGAAAGATCTTTTCGGAATATATATCAAATAACAGTGGAGAGAGTACACAGCCCTAACCAACTCCTCTTTTTATTGGCAATTCTGCTGTCAGACAATTTTGATCGGCGCCATTTGATCCCAATATAGTTTTTTAATCAGTGCTATAGTGTTATGGTATATACCATGTTGTGTTAGGGTTTCTATGAGTTCTGTGTATTTTACTCGATCAAACGCTTTTACCTAGTCGATAAAAAGAGAAACACGTATTTTCGCTGATCTCGACATTTTTGTAGTAAAATCTGGAGGCCAAATAATGCTCCCCTTGTACCAAGCCCCTAAACCCTAAACAACCTACGTTTCGCAGATGACACAGCCCTTCTTGCAAATAGTCAAGCAGAGCTGATGGAACTTATACGACTGATCGAAAACGAAAGTCAAATATTTGGTCTGCAATTAAACATATCAAAGACAAATATCACGATAGTGGATAGACTACACAACAATCATCCACACATAACCACAGTTGACCGGTTCGAGGTTGTGAGCTCATACTTATATCTGGGATCATTAATCACAAACACAGGGTCATTACAAGAAGAGATTAAACGTAGATGTGATCTAGCAAAAGTTGCCACAGAAAAAATGACCAAAATATGGAAGGAATGTCAAATTTCAAGAGCGATAAAGATGAGGTTGATCAACTGCTTAATATTTCCAATACTGACCTACGGATGTGAATCTTGGACTTTGAGACAATCGGAGAGAAAAAAGATAGACGCCACTGAAATGTTCTGTTGGAGACGAATGTTACGAATTCCTTGGACCGACCGTAGAACAAATAATTCAATTTTAAGAGAGCTAAAAGTTAGCCAACGACTCTTTAGTAAAGTCTATCTCCAACAATTAAAATATTTTGGGCATGTTATGAGAGCAAACACAGAAAACATGGAAAGACTCAAGGAAAGGTAGAAGGCCGAAGATCACGAGGAAGATCATCAACAAGATGGATAGATCAAATTACAGGAATATGCCAAAGACCTATGCATGAATTAAAAGAAATGACCAGAGACAGAGATCTCTGGAGGCGGACAATACACGACATCACGTCGACCACTACACTCTCCCTGGGGGGTCAGGATTGAAGAGAGAGAGTACCAAGCCCCATACGAAATCCAAATTGATTGTCGCTCAGGTTTCTTTCGCATTCTCTGTATATTCGTTGATGTACAATTTTAAGTAAAATTTTCAGAAAATGGCTCATCAGGCTAATTAATCTGAACTGTGAGCATCTATTTGCTTTATTTTTCTTGGGTATAGGTATAAATGTCGATTTAAGCCAGTATTCTGGGAAGATTCCAGTGGTATAATATATATTTTTTAAATAATAGTGTTAACGTCTGAAGATTTTCTTCATTGATAAGCTTTATCATCTCTACGTATATTTCATCTGGACCTGAGGCTTTTTGTGGCTTTGCCGTATTGATTGTTTTTGTAACTTCCGATGTTAATATATCAAATATTGTTTCTTGTACTATATTCATTTGTGGTTCTGTTCTCCTGTCATCAAACAGATCTTTGATGTATTTTTCCCACATATCTCCTACATTTTCTGGACTAGATACTATTTGGTTGTTATCATCTACTAAAGTTGTTGTAGTGATTTTTTTCTTCATATTTGTGACTTCCTTAATCTTTTTGTATGCATTAAAGTAGTCATGCTTTTTTTAGTAAATCTCCCAGTTCCTCACAGTTGCTGCTCATCCATTCTTTTTTGGCTTTCCTGATTTTGTTTCGGATGATTCCCTGGGTTTCTTTATATCTCTCTTCATTGCGATTTTTGTAAGATCTCCTTATGTCCATCAGTTCTAGGACTTCTTCTGTCATCCATGTATTCTTTGTTTTTCTGATGTTGTCTTGTAGTTGTTCTCTTTGTATAGTTGTGATTGTTGTTTTGAAGGTGTGCCAGATTGCGATTTTTGTAAGATCTCCTTATGTCCATCAGTTCTAGGACTTCTTCTGTCATCCATGAATTCTTTGTTTTTCTGATGTTGTCTTGTAGTTGTTCTCTTTGTATAGTTGTGATTGTTGTTTTGAAGGTGTGCCAAATACTTTCTATTGTTTCTTCTGCTTCCGCGGGTGCTTCGCTGAACTTTTCTTTGATTGTTTTCTCTATTTCTGCCTGTACTATTGGATCTTTAAGTTTTTCAAGGCTAGGTTTTATCTTCTCTCTGTATTTAATTTTCTTTAGTTTAATTGAAATTTTACGAACAACAGGATTGTGGTCGGAACTGATGTCCGCCCTGGGATATGTTTTAACTCCCCTGATTCCATTTCTATATTGTTTGTCAATTAATATATAATCAGTCTAGTTTCTTATTATGCGGTTTTGACTATCGCCAGAAGCTTTCCATGTATATAATCTTCTTTTTGGTTGTTTAAACCAGGTGTTTGCGATCATTAAATTTTCTTCTTGGCAAAATTGGACCAGTATATCTCCTGTATCATTTCTTTGGCCCAGCTAAAGTTCCCTACTACGTCTTCGGTTCGCCCTTCGCCTACTTTGACATTAAAATCTCCCATAATGTTTTTTTGCATAATTCTCCCATAGCATTTTCTTTGTGATCTTCATTAGCTAAAATACAGTTACTAAAATAAATTTTTTCATGAAAATTTTTGCCTATACAGTAGACTCGCGATTATCCGAGTCTAGGTTATCCGAGCCCCTTGGTTAACCGAGACAAAAGTCGTAACTGGTGAGTCACAATATTGCGAATAGTTATGCGCCGTTAGGTCTAGCCGAAACTTTCACAATCCTTATTTCTAGAAATGTTTATATCGCGTTTTGTCTACAAATATTGTTCCTATGTTAATCAGAGTGAAATGGACAAGGGAGCATCAATAAAGAATGTTGCTTCAGATTTAGGTGTTGGAGAAGTAACTGTTGGAGATTGGAAGCGTAAACGGAATGAAATCGAACATTATAATAACCGAAGTGTGACTGTTGGGAGTGGATTGGAAGACCACGAAGAAAGGAGAACATAAACAAACTTCTAAGGCGTTGTTCTTGTGGTTATCACAAATGAGAGTATTGGGCAGATCGATAAGTAGCCAAATACACCAAGCAAAAGCTTTCGCATTCCACAAAAAGTTTATGGATGAAGGTTAAAACTTTTGTGCTAGTGAGGGATGGATTGAGTCATGGAAGAAAAAATATGGTATTCAAGAATAATTGAATTTTTTTTGGCGAAAAACTTTCTGCCAACTCAACTGAAATTGGAATATTTTATTTAGTTTATAGTTATAGGTTATAAGAGGTTATCCTTAAAGACTGACTGACTAAAATGCTTCATTCAAAAACATTAGCCACTAAAAATAAAGTAATTGCATCAGGTTACAAGAAAAGCAAAGAGAGAGTCACTATCATGATATGCAACAATGTTTCTAATTCATTAACTAACTCTAATTCTAATTCAAGAACTGATTTTTTAATGACTTTGT